TGCTCGCAACGACCCTCGACGGAACCGACATTTTACTCGGGCGTGATTGGCTGCGACGACACAACCCGCGAATTGACTGGACGACGGGTGACTGCACCGTGCGAGTGAACGGTAACAGCATCGCCTTACCTCGCTGGGGCTCGCCTGAGTCTTCGTCGGTGCGTGTCAACGCGATCACGATGAAACGCGCTGTTGCGGCCGGAGCCGACGTGTACGCGGTTGACATTCGGGAAGCCGAGGCAGCAGACAAGGGAGGCGATTTACAGAAACTGCTGACCGACGTACCGAGTGACCTGGCGGCACTGTTACAACAGTACAGTGACATTTTCCCGGATGACCTGCCGACGGGACTGCCACCTCAGCGACCGCACGATCACAGAATAGAACTGGAACCGGGGGCACAGCCAACAGTACAGCGACAGTTCCGACTGACCCAACCCGAATTAGACGAACTAAGGAAGCAGCTCGATTACCTGCTAGAAAAGGAATTCATTCGCCCTAGTTCGTCGCCTTTCGCCGCACCAATACTGTTCACACCGAAAAAGGACGGGGGTTTTCGCATGTGCATCGACTACAGGGCACTGAACAGGGTTACCATCAAATCCCGTTACCCCATCCCACGAGCCGACGAACTGATCGACCAACTGCGCACAGCCCGGGTTTTCTCGAAAATCGACCTCCGAGGAGGATACCACCAAATCCGCGTCAACCCACCCGACTGCCCTAAAACCGCATTCCGAACACGCTACGGATCCTTCGAATACACCGTCATGCCATTCGGACTGACCAACGCCCCCGCCACTTTCCAAATGACCATGAACGAAGCATTCCGCCCGCTTTTAGATAAGTGCGTCATCGTTTATCTGGACGACATACTGATTTACAGCCCTGACAGAGCACAGCACTTACAAGACATCGAAGCAGTTTTTAAAATCCTGAGTGAGAACCGCCTACTGACCAAAGCATCTAAGTGTGAGTTTTTACAGGACCGCCTGGAGTTTTTGGGACATGTTATTTCAGCTGCAGGAGTGGAAATAGACCCGAAGAAAATTGCGACGATTCAGGCTTGGCACGCGCCGACCAACTTGACCGAGTTGCAGAGTTTCCTGGGGTTCGTCAACTACGTGCGCCGGTTCGTCCCCGACATGGCGAAACTGACTGCCCCGTTGACTGACCTGCTGAGGAAGGGGGTTGAGTACACGTGGGGGGAGAAAGAGCAAGCTGCCTTCTCGGCCCTCAAAAATATTTTGTGCTCCCCGCCCGTCCTTCACATTGCAGATCCCCACCGTCCGTTCGAGCTCGTCACCGACGCAAGTGACATCGCTGTGGGAGCAGTACTGTTGCAGGATTTCGGAAATGGCCTCCAGCCAATCGCGTACGAGTCCCGCAAGTTACACCCGCCCGAACGTAACTACCCGATACACGACCGCGAGATGCTAGCGATCGTGCACGCGTTCAAAGTTTGGCGATGTTACCTGACTGGTGCCGACGTGACAGTACGGACAGACCACCGCTCGCTACAGTACCTTCGCGCCCAACCGAATCTCAACCCACGACAGATTCGCTGGTTGGACTATCTCGAGTCCAATTTTCACTACACCGTCACGTACAAAAAAGGAGCATCCAACATCGCCGACGCTCTCACCCGCCCCACCGCCCAACTCCACGCCATCCTACTCGCCCAGACCAACCCGCTTTTAACTGGCCTATTCACCCACGGATACCGCACCGACCCATTTTTCACGACCGGAAATTCACAGCAACTGGCAGAAGCAAAAGGAGTTTATTACGTAAAAACAGGCACCAACCGCATTTGGGTACCCGCGTACTCACTACTGAGGGAGCTGCTGCTGCAGGAGGCACACGACGGGATTACCTCCGGACATTTCGGGGTAGAAAAAACACGACAGCAACTGCAGCGGTACTATTACTGGCCGGAGCTGTTGACCGACGTACAGCAGCACGTGGGCTCGTGCCCGACGTGTCAGGTGATGAAGAGTTCAAGGAAGCGGAAGGCGGGTCAATTGCAGCCGATCCCACCGCCCGAACGCGCCTGGCAGCAAGTAACCATGGACTTCGTCACAGGGTTACCTTCGAACCCTGGGGGTAACGACGCGGTGATGGTCGTCGTGGATAGGTTGACGAAGATGGCACACTTCGCTGCGTGCAAAAAGTCGATCTCAGCCGAAGAGACCGCTCGCCTGTTCATCGCAGCCGTTGTTCGCCTGCACGGGATACCAGCAGCAATTATCAGCGACAGGGACACGAAGTTTACCAGCAACTTCTGGAAGAACCTCTGGGAGCAGTTCGGGACCAGGCTACAGTTCAGTTCGTCGTACCACCCCGAGACCGACGGCCAAACGGAGCGGACGAATCAGACGATGGAGCAGTTGATTCGTGCCACGTGCGACGACCCCACGACCTGGGAGCAGCAGCTGCCGCTGATCGAGTTCGCGTACAACAACGCCACATCAGCCACGACGCAGCAGTCCCCGTTCTACCTGAACTATGGGCAGAACCCCACAGTGCCCATGACGCCGAGTCCGGACAACCCCACGCCACGCGCACAACAATTCGCCGAAATCCTGCAAGCTGCCCGCGCCAGAGCCGCCGAAGCAATAAAAAAGGCCAACGTCATCGCTAAGCGCAACGCTGATCGCCACCGCCGCCCCGTCACGTATCAATCTGGAGATTACGTGCTACTCGACACGCAAAATCTGCGACTGCCCGACGTACCAAAATTACGACCGCGCTACTGTGGACCATTCCAAATCAGTCACATGATCACACCCGTCACCGCGCACCTACTGTTGCCAATTGACTGGTACATCAGCCCTTCGTTCCACGTCAGCCTACTTCGCCCATACATCCCGACCACGAGTCAACTGCCGCGTCACCGGCCACAATCAATGACTGGCCCTGCATCAGAGCCGATCATCGAGCCCGAGAAATTTTTGAGCCATCGGATCCGCCACCCCACGGGAATCAGGAGGATTGAATTCCTCGTTCGCTGGAAAGACCGCACGCCAACTGAAGATAGCTGGGTGCCCCTGAGCAACATCGAAAATCACCCTGCCCTGCAAGTGTACTTGAGAAGCCGGGGATTCCGGGATATACACGCACTCGCGTAGCGGAGGGGGCTTCTTACGGGGGGGGGGGTAGTGTAAGGAATTTTCTCAGGCATTCCTTACGGAGCCGACTACATCGCGTACAGCAACAGCCGACTGTTCGCCCGTTACTGCTAACGGAACTTCGCCGACTTCGCGCGCACTGTTTTGCCAAACCTCGCACTGCTGGCATGGCCGTATCGGCCTACGCTTCGGGACTAGCCCGAGCCTCGCTCCAGCGTAGCACTAGCAAGTTCGCACGCACCGCGTTACCGTTTTGCATGTTTCGCGTATAAATGTTCGCTCATGCCTTCGCTCACATTTTGTACTCGTTTGACACCTTAGTGCAATTCTCGCTACCTCGATTCATTGCACCCGTAACATTCAGCGTGTTGTCGGGTTGTATGGTATGCTGAATCTTCCGATCACTGTATGTTGTGTATGGTTGTGTGTGTCAGTGCGAACCGCGACGTGGCGCCTTTGTTGATTCCTCCTCCGCGGAACTGCGAACACCTTGCTGGTGTGTGGTGTGGTGTCTCCCGCCACAACGTTTCAACCGAATCGAACCGACCTACAAGAGGAGACACAGCTGCTCCCTGACATCAGTGCCATCAACTCACCGCGCTGCGTTCCTCTCAACCATCAAAATCTTTTTTCTCTACCAACCAAACGACATGCTGTGCCCCATGCCACCTTGCCAGAAAATCTTGAGCACCAGCTCTCATTGTGCTGTACCGAACCTCGAGATGTTCTCCCAAGAGCTGAAACAGCACTCAGCTGGGCGCTGCTTTTCAAGTGAAAAAACATTTGTATTGGAATGAGAGGCTGAATGATGTCCACATTCTGTACCAAGGGACATTCCGAAAATTTTCATCCGAACAAGCCCATCACCCTTCCCCTCTTCCCCTCTTCCCATACCATCCATTCCATCAGCACACCCAGGTGCCACTCACTAGGATGATAATCGTGTACTGCAGTAGCTTATCATCCACGATTATTATCAATAATCATGCTTTTGTGTTCACTGAACCTCGGCCGAACGAGTTGACCATCGCATTGGGAGCTGAGTGAGCGCCAGATGGGCTGCTTATCTCGTCGTGTTGGTGCACACACTCCAACCCCCTTCATTCCATAAGCCACGTTGTTGCTAGCTTGCCTGAACTTGCCTTCTTCGCATTCACCTTCACCTGCCATGGAAACTCCCAACCCGTCGATCGCGCAAAAGTCGGGAGTCAGATGCCGCCTCTCAAGACCGTCGCTAAGCAAGACGACCGAACCGAGCTCCGGAGTCCTTCAAAGACGCAGTTTATCCCATTCATTCAGACTCCGCGTGTCGCGTCCAGCCATGGCTGTGCTCCTCGTCGTCTTCCTGACCGTTCTCAGCCATCTCACGGCCGTCAGCGCAATGGTTCGTCGTCTCCTCGTCGCCCTATCTGCCCCCTCACATGCACGTCGTTCCCTTGCTCGTTTATCGTCTTCATTAAGTCCCCGCCTTGCGCAATGCCGAACTTTTCCTGCGGAATACGTTTCGCGTCCGCGCTATTCCTATTCGTAGCCAACCCCCTGGCGGTCTGCAACAGCGAATCCCTCTGCTCAGTGGTAAAAAGCGAGGGAATGCCGTATGAGCAGGGGAAGTGAGTGAGGGGATGAGGTAGTAAACTCGCATCTGCGACTGCATTGAAGGTAAGAACATGTGAGGTCTGATGGAGAGAATAAGAACCCGGCCAAATGTTAGCGTATTTTTTTAGAAAATCTCAAAAGTGACTCCAAATAGACGTATGCTGCTCCCCCAATAGATGCTCTGCATTTCCCTTTTCCTCACGTTCTAATCTCCTTTTCCTTGCTGCGTCGGATTCTCCTTCGCCGGGCATGCGTGTTTGCCGGGCTGTGCAGGGCATTGGAGGGGGTTTCGCGAGCAGCAAGAAGCGGCCACTAAAGGGCCCCGTAAGCAATTTTTCTTAAACCCCACCTCTCACGCGACGGCATCGTGATTTTTGTTTGGAAACTCAAAAGTGCCTCGGCGCGCTGATGCTTCTACGTCATCCTGCCGCGCCGCGCTGTGCCGTGCCGAACCGCGCCATAAAAGTCGTGCAACGCAGGGCCAATTTGCGCGTTTCCTCTCCCATGCGCGGTCCCTCGTGCTGCAGCCGCCGCCGCAGCGCCACAGCAGCAAATTGTCATGGGAGAAAGTTTTACACTACGCAGAAATCGCTGCGACGCGCCTCGTCCGACTGCTCATTCTCGCCCCCCGCTTGTCCCTCTCTCCTCGCACTTTTCACCGCCATACCCCACGTTTCCTATTGAACCCCTCTCGATTACTTTTCTGACAACTTTTGAGACGGCGCTACTCTCCCTTCACCTGTCCCCTTTCCCTTTCCCTTGTCACCGCTTCGCCTTTCCCGTCCCCCGTCGGCGGCCTCCCCCGACCCTTCCGATCCCCTCCCGCGCGCGCGCGTGTTCAGGTGGCGGCGTTCCCCGCGTACGGCGACCGCGACGCGACGCTGGCACTCCACGGCCCCATGGAGACGTTCACCACGCGCATCAATGTCGCGATCTACGATCCCGCATCAAAGACTCTTAAATATGCTAAACGGCCATTCAGGTAGGATAGCTGTGACCTCCCTCTTCCTCCCCACATTCCTACCCCCCCCCCACTGTTCCCTCTCTCCCAACAGCCCTCTCTTCATCCCTCGCTTTCCCCTTTCCCACCCTTCCCCTTCCTCTCCCCCTTCCCTCCCGCCTTCTGCATTGCGTGTGATGTACGTGCCTCCTCGATAAGTTCCTCTGCGCACCGTCGCCCCGCGTCCCCCCCTTTTTCCTCCTTCGTCCCCCGCTTTCTAGACCTCCACCCCCGCTTCCCCCTCCCCTCCTCCTCTGATCCTTTTCCCCTCTTCCCCCTCCCGACCTCTCTTTCCTCCGCCACATCCCCTCCCCGTACCCCCGCCACCCCTCCCTGCCCTCCCCCTCGCTGCAGAGCGCACGTGTACTACGTGCCGCTGAAGATGGGGTCGAAGCAGCAGCGCTTCCTGGCGCAGGTGGACATGCTCTTTAGCTCGCTCTGGGTGCCCTGCGACTGCATCTCCTGTGCCAAGGGCCGCCCGGAGGTGTGTGTGTGTGTGTGTGTGTGTGTGTGTGTGTGTGTGTGTGTGTGTGCGCGCACGCGCGCGCTGAGAGAGGGGGGGGGTGGGGAGAGAGGGGGGTGCAGTGGGGGAAGGGGAGCAGGCGGGGAGATGAGGGACAGCCACACACACATCGTCCTATGATAATTTGACTCTCCTCATGACCATCCCCCATTCTCCTGCCGCTCTTTTTCGTTCGGTCATTTGTATCAGATGCCGGATTTTTTCCGCTGAACAATCAACCATGGCTCATGCCTCCCTAACTCTCCCTCTTTCTCCTTATTCGTTTCCTCCCCTCCCACCCCAACCTCAACCCCGACCCCAACCCCTTCCTCTCATCTCCCCTGCATTATCACCCGCACTTGGGCCCCCCGCGTACCACCTGGGCCCCCCGTGTGCCAGGTGCCGAAAGATACCCCTTTCGACTCCCTCTCCTCCTACTCCGTCCAATACCTCTCCTGCTCCGACCCCCGCTGCGTCTCCGTGGGGGTTTCCGAGTTTAATACACCCCTGGTGGGGTGCAACGACCCTGGCAAAACGAACCCGTATGTGAACACGTCCTTGATTCCGGGCAACGACCCTCTCTGCGTGTACACGACGCCGCTGGGGGTCAACAGCTACGATCTCTTTACTTATGACAACACCACCATTCTCTTCGCCAATGCAAGTGATCCCTCGATCGGCCCTCTGGATTCCGCTGGTCATGTGATTGCTGATACGCTCTTCTTTCCAGAAGACCCGGCTACTGCAGCCGCGGCTGCAGCTGTAGACGCAGCAGCGAAAGCAGCGGCAGAGGCAGAGGCAGAAGCAAAAGCAGTGGAAGAAGCAATAGCAATTGCGGTTGCATATGGTGTCATCTCTCCTGCACCTGCTTCCTCTGCGGCACCTGCACCTGCCGCTGCAGCAGCGCCGCCACCACCGCCACCTCTTTCCAACCGCACCATCTTCTTTGGATGCGGCTCCGCACAGTCCGGGTGGTGGGGGCAGCAGGACACATGGGTTCCCAACGGAGTGGTGGGTCTGGGCCCGTTCAGCCCGCTTCTGAAGCAGGTGGCGAATGAATCCATGTCGTTTGCCATGTGTCTGGAGAAGCCGAGGCCATGGGTGGAGAATGTGACGCGGTGGAATCAGAATAACCTAGAGCTGCAGGTGGTGCCTGTGGAGAGGTTTGATGGGGGGAGTCACCTCATGGTGGGGCCTGTGGACTTCCCTGCCAATGCCAGCCGCACCGAGATTTATTCGTTTGAGTAAGCGTTGTGGATTGCTGCTGTTTGCAGATGTGGATTGCTGGTTGTGAACCGTTGGTTGTGGATTGTTGGCCTGTGACCGTTGATGGTCGATTGTGGAGTGTGGACCGGTGGGTTTTCTGATCTCGAGACCTTTTGCCCCTCCACCTCTCCTCTCCCTTCTCCCTCACCTCCCCTCCCCCTTCTCTCTCTGTTGCTGCCTCTCCCTCTCGACGCGCAGTGGCTTGTACATTCCAGTCATCCTCAACACGAGTTACAGCATGGGAAACAGGATTCTAGTGAACCACCCAAAGGCAAACGAGGACGTGAATGTGATTGCCTTCTCCTCCACCATCTTCACGCACTTTCTGAAGTTTGATCTCGTGCAAGCCATCCTCACTGAGGTAAGCACCCTTGTGGAGGGATGGGCTCCTGCACACCCAGCCTCGTGGCTGCTGCTGCTGCTGCGGCCTATGCTGCAGGGTGGTTCACACCACCGTAGGATAGGCGTGGCCTGAATGGTGTGATCCTTGCTTATTTGTTCTCCATCTCCCTCTTGTTCATGTTTGGTGCATGGTGCATGGCACGTGGTTCATGGTGCATGGTGCATGGTGTGTGGTGTGTGGTGTGTGATGCATGGTGCATGGTCCCACTGCAGCTTGGATTTGCCAACGCCTTTGATTCAATGACCGTGAACAACACCACCCTTGCCTGCTTCCGGTAAAGTAACCCCACCTTTGCATCGTTCTGCATGACCCTGTTAAATTCCACGTCATCCATTACAAGACAGCGGCTTCACGCCGTGCACATCTACCCTGCTTTTTGTCTCGCACTCCTGGCTCCTCGCATCTCCATCGGAAATACCACTCACGTGTGCCTGTGGTGCGCCCATTTTCGCAGGAGTAACAAGGATCCATTCACGACCTTCCCGAGCATCCGCATTGGTTTTGTCGAGGGCTCTGAGTTCGTCGTTCCTCCTTCCGGCTACGTTGCCCAAGTATGTGTGCGCTTGACTTTTACGTGAAAGGTTTTTCCCTCTTTGTGGAGTTGGCATCTGCGGTGTGGCCTGCTACCGCCTTGTGCGCTAGTTCCCTGAGAGGGTCCGTTTTTTCTCCGGTTCTCGTCTCGTCCTGTCAAGCGGTCTTTGTTGGCCTCTTGAGAGGGATGGCAAGAAGCATCTCTCTTCAGGAGAATGTTGCCCTGCTCTGCACACGATCTTCCCGCTGCTCAGGAGCTCATTTCTCACTCCTGTTCTCCATTGCCCTTCCCCACTTGCGTATCCCCCTTTCCCCTTTCCCCAATTGCCAGGTGGGCGACAAGGAATACTGCTTCCTGTGTCATGTTGGGGAAGATATTGACATCTGGGCAGGTAACCCTACCTTCCATCCACCCTCCACCCTCCTGCCCGTTTTCTAGTCAACCCAAAATTCAGCTCACATCTAGACGGGTGGTCTCACGGTCAATTCCCCTGCCCCCTTGAGTCCACCTGTGCATGTGGTGCCCCTTCATCTCACCTGTGCATGTGCTGCCCCTTCATCTCACCTGTGCATGTGGTGCCCCTTCATCTCACCTGTGCATGTGCTGCCCCTTCATCTCACCTGTGCATGTGCTGCCCCTTCATCTCACCTGTGCATGTGCTGCCCCTTCATCTCACCTGTGCATGTGCTGCCCCTTCATCTCACCTGTGCATGTGCTGCCCGTGGTGTATGGATATGTCAAGAATCTCCCCACCTCCTCGTTTTGCTCCTTGATGTCACCTATGCATGTTGCTGGGTACCCCTACATGCGGTCTCTCCCTCCCCCTCTACCCTCATTCAACTCACGTGCTAGTCCATGTGCCCTTGCCCGTGCCATTACCCTTTCCCTCACCCTTGCCATTGCCCATGCCCTTCCCTGTGCTCATGCCCTCGCCTGTGCTGTGCCCATGTCATTTCACGCCATGCAACGCAACGCCATCAGCACCGGCACTGTATGACAAGCAGATTTACATCAACTACCCTAACAAGACCTTTGCTTGGATCGACACCCCACAATGTGAGCCGCCCGTTCCCTGCCGCATGTACCAGTCATGATGCTAGGCACAGTCTCTCCCTCCCTTCCATCCACTCATCTGCCCATCCCTCCCTACCATCAATCAACTCGTCTGCCCCTCTCTGCCATCCACTCCCGCTCCCTTTCCCTTCCCCTGCTGACTACCCATCATGCGTCGCCTATAACCATCTCTTTGCCCTCTCTCTCCGGTGAATCACTCGTGCCTCCTGTGCTGCAGGTTCAAAGAACCTCTCATTTGTTCCGCCGCCGCCCTCACCTCCTGCTCCTGCTGTGCCCAAGCCTGGTGCCCGACTGGCTGCTCTGCCGTCCCTATCTTGGCACCTGGTGACGACAGGGTCTCTCCTGGTGCTGCTGCTACTGCCGCTGCTGCCTGTCTGAAGCAAGGTCCCACTGCTAATTATTTTCCTGGGTGAATCTGCTGCTGCTGCTGCTGCTGCTTTTGAGTTGCAGGAGTGCAGGTATAGAAGGTAGAGTAGGTGGTGGTAGAGGAATGAGAGGAGGAAATAATCAAACAAGCAGATGGCATAACATGACATGATGACATGAAATGAAATGATGTGACAAGACGTGGCATAAGATATGACAGTACTTTGTGCTGTCCTTCTGGTTCTGTGTTCCAGGTGAGGTCTTTTTTCATAAGTATTGCTTTCTCCTAATTCGCGCTCTCCTTGTGAAAACACCCACAAGCATGTTGGAAATCCGAGCACAGTAGAATGAAAACTGTATACCAGTGTGCTGTTTGATATTAGTGTAGTCCTCGTTATAAGCCTCCAGGTTCTACAATAATTGTCACACATGTTGTAGGACCACAATTATTGGAGCCTAGCATTATTGAAAAGTAAAGGGTACAATTATTGGTACACCATAATTGGGGTGAATCGGTTATTCTGGAGGGGTAGCTGGATGCATATTTACCCTGAAGTGTCACTTCTTCATTATCATTGTGTCATCATTATACTTTTCAATGATCAATACAAGATGTCCATCTTCTTTTCTACAAGCACGTTTCCACTACGCTGGCACTATGCCTTTCTAGCATGGTATCAAAGCTACTCTAGGAGGCATGCTGCCAAATTTGGTTTAGTAATATACTGGCATTTACTTCGGATAGGTACATGCGTATAGTCAGAGTACCGCACACTCGGTCTACGCTTTCGTACACCTGCTGTTCGCTGCTGGTTACAACTGCGCCTTTGGCGCGCACTTGGTGAACGGTTTGATCAAGATTCATGGCGCACTTCGATGACGAAGTGGATCCTGGATATGCGGCTTTTGAAGAAGCCATCATGGCTCAGCATGAGCACCTGGAAAACATGATTGCAAGGGCACCACCAACACTCCAAGCTTCGTTGAGGGACAAGTTTGGAATGACAGTCAAGCCAAGGGCAACACTCTCTCATTCAAACACTCCGCGTACTAACAAAACGCGTGCAAATGTTCATGCAGGAATTGATGGTGAAAGGGAAATGGGCATACCCCAAGGAGGAGAGTCATCCCAAGGGAGGGATGCATCCTGTGGAAAACTGAACGAGAATGAATCAACTATGAATGAAGTGAGTACAAATATGAAACCCTAATTGGGTTGTACCCCCTATGGGATACCCCACTATAGCCTACACAAATAAGTAAGCTATAATGTTCTGACACACCCCCATAGGCAAAGTGGGGGAGAACAAGGGGTCACAAGACCAGTCAAGCAAAGCAAAGCAAAGCTCAGGGTGGATCACAAAGTCACAACACATTCCGAGCGCAAGGTCAAGGGCCACAAGGCCAGTTCGCATGCAAGATCATATATAGAGATATACAAAAGTCAAGCAAGCAAGAGCAAGAGTATATATAGGTCAAGGTACAACCAAGGTCAAGAAGTGAGCAAGTGAGGCAAGACAGGCACAAGACCCAGCTGCGTGCAGCAACGCTGATGATCACAAGGCGCAAGTGCCTTGGTGAAGACATCAGCAGTGTTGGCCTCAGAGGCCACGTACGCAAGTCGCAACTGTCCACGCTGCTGCAGCTCACGAGCAAGAAAGTAGCGGAGAGCAATGTGCTTTATCCTGTGCTCCAGTCGCTGCTCTCGACACAAGGCCAGCATGGCCTTGTTGTCTACGTACAGGACTGGAGGAGAACGAGGCGGCTCTCCAAGGTCGGTCAGCAGGTAGGTGAGCCAGCGAAGCTCCTGAGCAGCCATAGCCCCGGCGTAGATCTCAGCCTCACAACTGGAGCCGAGAATAGAAGACAAGCGAGTAGCCCGCCACGAGACAGAGCCGGAACCAAGGCCGAAGGTGTAACCCTGTGACGACCGCTGCGTAGCCTGGTCGTCAGCCCAAGAAGCGTCCGCGTGCCCAGTGAGGACCACTGGACTGCGCCCTCCAAGCACTAGCCCCATGCCCGACTTACTGCACAAGTAGCGCAACACCCTCTTCGCTGCAGCCATGTGCTGTGGTCGGTGTCTCCTAGGAGCAACATAGCGTGCGAGAATGCTGAGAGGGTATGCAAGGTCAGGTCGTGTGCAGGTCATCAGGTACATGAGGCAGCCAACAAGCTCTGCATACGGGCCACTCGACTCTACGGACTCATCCGAAGGCAGAGCTGAGAGCGAGTGGCGAGTAGGCAGAGGAGTGGCCTGAGGCGAGGAGTACGTGAAGCCGAAGCGCTGAAGGACCTGCTGCACCATGTGTGACTGAGTCAGGGTAATGGTGCGGCGTGCTCTGTCCCGGGTGATCTGCAAGCCAAGGTAGCTGCGCAGTTCACCCAGGTCAGTGCACGTGTGTCTCTTCTGCAGCTCGGACTTCACGTAAGCGAGTCCAGCAGTGTCCGCTGTGGCAAAGACCAAGTCGTCGACGTACACGAGGATGTAGAACGACGGCAGAGAGGTGTCGGTGCACTGAAACAGCGACGGGTCGGCAGTAGAAGGAGCAAACCCAAGTGCCGCAAGCGTAGTCCTCAGTGTGTCGTGCCACTCACGTGGCGCCTGGCGGAGACCGTAGACTGGACGCCGGAGACTCCACTGGGTACCAGGAGGGAAAGACCCAGTGAAGCCAGGTGGGCGACGCAGCCAGATCTCCTCGTGCAGGCTGCCCTGCAAGAAAGCTGTGCTGAAGTCGAGAGAGTGCAGCTCGTAGTCACGGTGAGCAGCAACGTGCAGCAGTACCCGAAGAGTGGTCATCTTCGGGGTGGGGGAGAAGGTCTGAAAGTAGTCAACCCCCTGCCGCTGACTGAAGCCACGAGCCACGTAACGCGCCTTGAAGACAGGCGGAGAACCCGGCGGCCGCTTCACCCTGGAAATCCACATGCCACTGACAATGTTCGCCCCAGGAGGGGGAACAGCGTCGACGTAGGTGCCTGTGGACTTCCAGGAAGCCATCTCTGCATCCATAGCTGCCTGCCACTAAGAGGAGTAGGGACCCTCTATCGCCTCCGCGTAAGAGCGCGGAGTCGGGATGTCAAGTGCATCCGGGTCTCCCTCAGGGGCTAGCAGTACAGACGCGAGATGAGGTGAAGCGGCGGCCAGACACTGGAACTCCTCCTGCCTGTCCTCAAGGACGTCCGTGCCAAGGGCACACTCACCCCCGACGGACGGAGGACAGGCAGACTCAGACTCAGCGACAAGACTAGCAGCGTAGTCTAGGCGACAGCGCGCAGCGAAGTCGACGAGCTCAGTGACAAGGGCAGATGCAGCAGAAGACTCGAAAGAAGGGTCAGTGACAGCAGTAGCAAGAAGACGCGTGACAGTAGGACTGGCATCACGAAGAGAGTCCGACTCCGGGTCGGCAAGAGCAGGAAGAGAGGAAGCAGGAGGAGAAGGCAAAGGGGCACGCAGAGGAGCAGTGGACGGACGCAGAGACATCCGGTGCGTGCCAGGGACAGGAGGAGGACGCTGACGCGAACCACGACCACTAGTGCGCGCAGTACGAACAGGCGACGCAGGACGAGACGCAGGCTCACGACGCTCAGTAAGACCTCCAGTCGGACCAGCGTAGGGAGAAGGAGCAGGCAAAGGTGAGGCAGGCTGTAGCTGTGACTGTGACGAGACAGGCTGTGGACCCTCTAAGGGAGGAGGAGGAGGACCAGGAGAAGGTGTAAGACCAAGAACCTGCTGCAGGAGCGGAACGAAGTACGGCCGGGGCCGCGCGGCGATGCCAGAAACAGCAGGGACAGCACCAGTACCCCCAGCAGGAGTACCCGCTCCAGCAGCACCTCCAGTAGCTCCATAACCTCCAGCAGCACCACCAGGAGCACCACCAGTCGGACCTCCAGCGGCAGTCTCAGCGTCAACACCCTCAGCAGCACCAGCTCCAGGAGAACCCTCAGACCCAGCAGCTCCAGCACCCACAGTACGAGCACCGCCGGGACGCTCGGCAGCAGTACCCTCTGCAGCCGAAGAACCTCCAGCACCAGCAGCACGCCTCCAGCGCCTGGCAAACCACTCACGTAGCTCCTGAGGGGAGAGTGGCTCTCGGCGAGACGAAGCACCTCCAGGTGGAGCACCCCCAGTCTCAGCACCCCCAGGCTCAGCACCCCCAGGCTCAGTACCCCCAGGCGCAGCACCCCCAGGCTCAGTACCCCCAGGCACAGCACCCCCAGGCTCAGCACCCCCAGACTCAGTACCCCCAGGCTCAGCACCCCCAGGCTCAGCACCCCCAGGCTCAGCACCTCCAGACTCCGCACCCCCAGGCTCAGCACCCGCAGGCGTAGCACCTCCAGTCTCAGCACCCTCAGGCTCAGCTCCCGCAGCAGCACCAGAGTCACCAGTGACCTCGACAGGCTCGACCGCGTCTACCTGGGACACACCTGAAGGGGCAGGACCCTGAGGGGGGAGGGGGTCTACCGGGGGGGGACCTGGTACCAAGAAGAGCGGGGGCGGGGGGAGGGACGGAGTGCGGTAGGGGAAGAGGCGGTAGTAGGGTACCGACTCGTCGAATGTGACGTCCTGGGAGGACAGAACACGTCGAGAGGTGGGGTGGTAGAACTGCCACCCAGGGGCGTCGGGGGGGAACCCCAGGAAGACGCAGGGAGCAGCGCGAGGGGACAGCTTGTCCGCAGACAAGTCGCGGACAAACGCCCGAGATCCCCAGACCCGGAACGCCGACGCATCGTCAACCTTCCCCGTCCACAACAGCGCTGGGGAGGTCTCCGGCCTGGAGACCGTGGGGTGGAGGTTGATCTGATGCGCTGCGTACCTGACCGCAAACGGCCACAGAAAATGGGGGGCAGCCGCATGCATCATGGACGTACGAACGACGTCCATGACCATGCCAATGCGGCGCTCTGCAATCCCATTTTGCTGCGGGGAGTCCGAAAGCGTGAAGGTCTGGCGGATGCCTCGCGCACGACAGTAGGCACGCAGAAGGCCAGAGGAGAACTCTCCGCCTCTGTCCGAG